GGTAATTTTTCATGCTCCTCTATGCTTTCATCGTTATCAGGCTATTCATAGTCTGCTAGCTGAATAAAATTGCTTTGGCAAAGTTGTTTTGTTTAGGAGTTCATTTCAAAAATGCCTTGGCATTCTTCAGAGTCATCAGCATACTTAAGAGTAAAAAAAACATTAACAGTTACACACTGGTCAGCAACTCTCATGGTAAGTTCACCTTTTTCACAATCAATCAGAATACGACAAGTAGCTAGGAAATGCCTACCCAGTATGATGGGTGCTTTGGCATCAACTTCACAATTAAGGATAAGAAAGTCGAATGGTAATACAAATTTATCCACCTTCACTATGACATCATCGACTCTCCTTCAGGTCTAACATGGGTTCAGTTGGCAAGTTATAAAATCACAGATGTAGGTCTTGCATTTCCCATACCAAGCTTCAAGAATATAGATTTTGGCATTAAATTCACACTTGAACCAAGATTGCATAGTCCCTTACCAACGAAATTAGCTCATATGGAACATGGAATAATGAAGTTTCCCAGATCATTTTCTTTGGCGGCAGTTTGCTCAATGCAGAGCAATAGTCTCTTATCGTGGAAACTATCTCATACTTCTCAAAATTTCTTTTCTTGGTACAAATTTCCTTAAGAAATTCGGCATAAGTCGGCTTTTGTTCAATAGCTTCCAAGAGTGCTACATTAATATGGAGATGATCAACCATAAACTTTTTGAACTGAACTTTGTCATTGTGCTTCTTCAATCTTTGCGGGAATGGTAGTGGGAGTCTAACTTCCTCAACTGCGGGAGTATGAATTATTTTTGTCTTGGCATTAGAATTTAGTGCTTCAGCAGGTTCACTATTAGAACCCTCCTCTTTGTCATTCTCGCTAATTATATCATTATGTAATTCAAGTTCAGCTTGTTTGGAAATAGGGGTTGAACCATCATGTTGTTTTCCCCTAACCTTGACTTGTTGGTTAATCTTCGTTCCACTCTTAAGAGTCAATACATTGCATTGCTCTTTTCCAAGAGATTTAGTGACTTCAGTGTCACTCAGTAGTCATCCTTACTAACGTTCTTGCAATGCTACAACGATCTGACCAAATTGACCTTCTAAAGCTCTCAAATATGAGTTATGGATTTGAAGTAAGGTGCCTTGGTTATGAAGCAAATCTCATTGATTCTTAATTAAAGTAGAGTGATATTGCAGCATTGTCTTCGTGGTAGATATGAAATCTTGAATCGTGGCCTCCAAAGAACTAATGTTTGCTAAAGATAAAGCTCCCTTGTTAGCTTTATGACATGGAATAGTATTTTGGTAGCCTTGAGATTCAATATAATATTGTTGACAAGTAGGTTAAATAGTATTATGGGGCCCTTGATTTTCCCATGAGAAATTAGGGTGTTGACACTATCCTGCATTATAGGTGCTAGAATAGGGATTGTTATTACCTTGATTAAAATTACCTATAAAGTTGATAAACTCATGATTAGTCGGGCATTCGCTCTTATGATGATTGCCTTGGCATAATAGACATGTCGAATTAGCTGCTTTAATTTCCTTTACCTCAATAGAGCATGGTAAATTTTTCAACATATTAATGATATCTGAGAGTTGAGCAGACACAGAGTCCTTGGTATCTAACTCGAATTCTCTAGGTTCTTTTCTCCTAATTCTAAGCCTTGAGAAAGGAAATTCATAATCATTGTTGTCAATTCTATCCAAAATAGCAAATTCTTCTGTAGGTGCTTTTTCCAGCAATGTCCTATTTGTCGAGTCATAGAGCATAATCCCCATGGGTGGATTGACTCTATCATAAAACATAACTACTTGAGTCCAGTCTTGAAACCCATGATTAGAACATTTGTGAATCAAACTCTTGTAACAATCCCAACATTCATACATAGATTCGTCATCGCCCTTGCTAAAGGATGTTATGTTAGTCCTTAGCTTAGTGTTCATCTTTGGCAGGTTATAGCGCAATAGAAAACTTTTGTAAAGATCGTCTCACAATTCCATCAGACCAGATGGAACACCACTCAACCAAGCCCTCTCTCGATCACACAAAGAGTATGGAAATAGCTTTAACTTCAGCACATCCTCATGCACTCCTTTTTGGCAGAAATAATCACAACCTCCAAAAAGTTATGAATGATGCATGCACTGCAAAATATACCTTTAATGACACACGAACGATAACACACGCTAATTTATGACTTGCAAAACATGTGTGTCATAAAAAATGTCATGTTTTTTAAAATCCGAACGATTTATGACTTACAATAATGTGTGTCATATTTAATAGTCATAATCCAAAAAATTTGTAAAAAAAACAGAGTACACTTTTAATTGTGTGTCATTTGTAAAAGTCGTCTTTTAATTTCCCCCCATTATTTTCATCCTTTTCCGCTTCTTCCCCTCATAATCAGTTCACGCCTAATGTTTTGTACTCCTTTCATTCTCTCCTTTTCTCTCCAATGCCAAAACCCTAACTTGCTTTCTTTATTTTCCTGAAAGCTTCTCTCTCTGTGTTTTTTGTTTTGTTTTCAGTAACATTCTTCAAATTATTTCCATTTCCTTTTTCTTTTACCTTCTTCTAGTTTGTGGTCAGGGGTTCAAGTTTTTAAGATGGATATCGAGCAAAAGCAAGTTGAGTTCATCGATCACTTCATTAAGCAAGCGTCGGCTCAGAAGGGGATGCCCCTTGTTTCCGTTATCGTCGAAGCGACGTCTAATCCTTCACTCTTCACCTTCTCCGAGATTCTTACCATGACCACCGTCACTGAGGTAAAGACCTATTCCGTTATCAGTTTCTTTTATTTTCTTTCCCCTACTTTCCTCAATCTGAGAAATAAAAACTGTCATCAGTTATTTTTGTTGCACATATCTTAATAACATTTATTCTTGTTTCTTTTTTTGTCAATATAGTCTGATGTTTTAGTTTTATCATTGCTTCACTTTCGGTTTGATGCTTTAGTTTACTTGTAATTTATAAGAAACCTATATACCTTTGCAGCTTGACGGAATTGAAAACTCGGTGTACCTGGAAGTGCTTCGGTTATTTGCCCATGGCACATGGAGCGATTACAAGAGTAAGCTGGAAAACTTGTGTTTTATTGTTTGTGACGTTTTCAATGCACTTGTTTCACTTGTACCCGTATTTTTTCTATTCGAGATAATTTGAAGATCATTAGTAGTAAGCATTTGTTACTACCGTGTAAATCTCTTCAAGATTACCAGTTTTACTCTTCTAAATGTTACCCTTCACTTAATTAATCCACTTGATTATTTTTGTCTTTGATTGTTGTTATAGTTATTATTCACATCATAATATGACCAACTCTGGCTGCTTAAACTATTTGATTAGGCAATAGCGGCAGCCTTCCTCAACTGGTCCTTGATCAAGTTCTCAAGTTAAAGCAACTCACTGTCCTTACACTTGCTGAGACGAACAAGGTATTGTAGTTGAGTTAAGAGGGAATTTGATCATCTAAATATGCTATAGTTGCCAGCCTCGATCCATTGTAGTGGTTATAGTTATTTTGATATTCATTGAACGTGCCACTTTGACTTCGTAACGTGAAGAAACCAAGTCTTTAGAATATATTGAAAAATTTTAATGCCCTTATGAATTGTTTTATTCCACTTTCTAACTGAAATGGATATACCCTTTGTCTGACAATGGCACTATAGGTTATAAATGTTGGTTGCATCAAGTTCATTTACCATTTAAATATCTTGACCATGTATTACAATATGATCAACTAATGCTGGAGTTAGATGTCACCAATATTCATGAACTTGAAGATTTTCTTATCAATGAGTGCATGTATGCGGTGGGTAGACTCCCGGATTAATTCTCTATTAATTTTTATCCTAGGATTTACTCCATTATGACATGCTTTAGCTACTGGAACGGCCTTGAAAGGCCCTGGGAACCAATGGATGATTTTTATGCAATATGTTGAATGTGAAAGAACTTTGCAGTTGTTTCTGCATTCATATTTGTTTTTTTGTGAAGGTTAACTTTTAGAGTGGCCCTGCATTGTTCACAGTTATTTCTACAGCTATTTGAACTTTCCTTTGGTGGTCAAACCCAATACCTTAGGTCTTACTCTGGCTCTGCTTTCACAAAGGTCTGAGAAAGAAGGGGAAGGCGGGGCACTTGCCTTCCCATTGGATGTTTTGTTGAATTTTAAGGGAAGTGGGTTCTACCAGAGGTGCAAATATACTGAAAGTGTGCCGATTTTTGTTCATTTTTTCCAACCTTTTTGTCAGGGTATAGTCAGAGGAAAGTTGGATCAGTTGCGAAGATGTTTTGAGGTATACTGTCATTTCCTCTCAAGAATTTTCCTTTAAATTTATTTTTCTTCACTGATTAAAATCTTTAATATTTGTTCTGGAAGATCCAATTTGTTGCTGGAGGGATTTGAGGCTGAGATAACTTGGGAGTATGATAGAAACACTGTCGAACTGGTCACATCTCTGGTTCAAATAGAGCATTTCATTAAGTCATTTGTCCATACTGCATTTATAGTTGCTACTGTGTGATTTTTTATTAAATTTTTCGATTTGTTCATTAGAGCTATTTAGTCCAAGTAGACCTGACAGAATACAAAGTTGAATTTGATAAAATTGCAAGATCCTTTAATTGGAGCAGAGTGTAGAGTGATGTTTCAAGAATGAGAAGTTGATGATAGGTTTTTAATGATTTTATTTCTTACTGTGGAACGTCTCCGAATAATTCTTCATGGAAACCGTATGTACTTAACATATTGATTGTTTTCTTTTAGTTTTCTTTTATTTATTATTTATATGGATTTAAAGACTAGTTCAGGTATCTTGATATGCTTTCCACCACTTTTGGGAATCCGTTATGGTTTACTAATGATGAGATGCTGGAATTGAGAGGAACAATCTTGTATAGAGAAATTGAATTGCGGGTAAATATAAGCATATAGTTTAACATTTCTCTTGAAGATGAAATGCATGTAATTTGACTACCAATGATGATGAAAGTTAGTGTAATTGTTTTATATAAAATGGATTTGATTTATGTGAACGAAGATAAAGTGAAGGGTTTGGCGAAGAAACTTCTTGCTCTTGATGGAGTTTCAGAAAGGTCGATATTAATTGCATCGAATAAAGTAGGAATCAAGTGTATTTATTTTCCTTTTTCCCAATTATGAATTGTTGTTAAGGCTTCTTTTGTAGTGAGGTCTGCTTTGAAGATTTCCTTTGGTAGGGACCTACTCAAAATGAACTCTTTCTTATTCTCTCTCAAAATGGGGTGGGTGGGGACAATGAAAGAGATTGACTATGATATAATGACATTCCTTGCACTTCGAACTTTGGTGGTTAATATACTGCGTGATTTCTGTAATGCTAGGGCGAATTCTATATTTTGGTCTCATGCTCTGAACCTTCCTCTTCCACATTCTTATGTATTTCCCCAAATTCAAGAAGATACCGAGATAACCTGTCCAGTTGAAAGAAGGTCTGAGGTGACCATCACTCATAGTGGACTAAGTGGAGAGTCTGTTAATGAAATTGATGGAAAAAGTGAGGTTACACTTTAGTTCTTACCACTTTTATGCCTGGATCTTTCCTCTTATTTTCTTTCACAGGTGAAAGTTTATTGTATTAACATGGGCTGAGGTTAAAGATTTTTATTTATTTTGGGTTTATATCAGGATTTGAGGGTCATGAGAATGATAACAAAGTCAATGGAGCAACTTCCGTATCGAAACAAAAAGAAACTGTCTGGGTGGAGGGTCTTCTCCCTGGCATTGACTTTTGCAACCATGGTATGTTAGTTTTTATTAGTCAGTGGCTCTCTAGTCAATTGGTTAGAGTATATTCTCATTGAATTTTTTGGTTGTTAATTTTATTTTTAGACTTGAAGGCAGTGGCAACATGGGAAGTTCTTATCCCAAAGGTAAGCATTAATGCATTATTATTTGTAATCAATAAGCTTAATTCTCAGTATTATTGGAAACGTTCTTTAATAAAATGTAAGTTCCACTGTCAATATGCCTTTTGTTCCTAATATTTTATGTGTTGTTAATTAGTTCCCTTTGTTTAGGGCTCTGCTTCTATGCTTTTAACTGATCTATGAATTTCTTGTTTTTGCATTTATGATATCCTTTGTGTATTCTATTTTTCAGGCATATAGCATCGCAAGCCTATTTCAAAGTTAAATTACTATTAATAGTCTATTCCCGAGGACATTTAACTTATATGTGACTTATGTGGTTACCAGCTGATCAGTATGTAATTTAGTAATCTAATTTGCTAAATCAGTGCGATTGAGTAATTCTTGTTTCCATACTTTATGCATTATTGTCCATCTTTCCCACCTTAGAGAGATTGTAATTGGAGTTCTATGTGCCAAGGTGGATATTTGAGTTGTACTATATTTCCCGTTTAGAAGTTGTGAATTAAGCATGCTGATAAACATAATTGAATTATTTTGATTCTTAGTTTTAACATAATTGAACTGCTTAGCGTTGTACTATTCTTGTTCCTTATCACTTCATTTTCAATTTTCTTTTGCAGATATACAATGAGCAAATAACAGATTTATTGGATCCAAATTAGAGAAACCTGCAGGTAGAATGGATTATTATTTAACTTTTCAGTTTCCAAATCAATGTTGTTTTGTAACTTTTCTATATATTGGTAATTGCTGATGAAACTTAGACTGTTTTTATTGGTTTTATGGCTTAATTGGGTAAATCCAGAGAAACATTGTGGATTTTGTGCTTTAATCCTTCTGATACACAAAAAAAACTAATTTTTGTCTTTTTGTTGGACTGTACATTGATGCTTAAGTTGTCTCGATCTAACCTAGATATCAAGATATATGCGTTATTTGTTAGAGATAGGATTTATCTAAATTCACTTAGACCAGGAAAGTTTAGTTCAATGCCCTCCTTTGTTTGATTGATTAAGGATGTTCAGAGTTCAGACCCACTATGTTACTCTTTATAATCATTAGAATATATAACTAATTTTGGTAAATGGATATTAATCACCTTTTCCTCTAAGAAAAATATAATTCTGTAGCAAGTTTGAATGAAAATCATCATTATAACCGAGAAGGATGGGTGAATTACCCATATGTAAATATATTTATCCCCTTAAATAACAGTGTAACTGTGAGAAATGAAAAGTAAAGCTTTTAAAGCTTAAGATACCTTTACCACAAATTTACTTGATTTTTCGTTCTTTTCATATTACTTAGTGATGAGTGATGACTTGATAACCATAAATGAAAATGTTTGCTCTTTACAAATGTTTGGACTAATTTATGTTCTCACCTAAAGATAGTTGATGCTTGATTAATATATGAAAAGTAATAATTCCTATATGTCATCAGCAGTTGGTTCAAATAAGGAGTGGAAACCAAAGGTGATCAGCTCTAATTTTGGGAAGGGTTCGGGAACAGCTGGTGCATCTGATGTTCCTACTAGTTCAGTTAAAGCCAATGCTCATTCACAACCAGTTTCAAGAGTTCTCAACTCTGGAGAAGCAACTTCAAAATTGAAGAAGAAGCTAGAGGAGTTGCATCTAAGATCTTATAATCTGTTAGTATCTTCTTTTGATAATATGAGAATATTCTTGGTTTTTTGTTTTCAAATAGCCATAGGTGATGGATATTATGTTTGTAACTTAATGTGAATATATTGTATGCAAATGGATTGTTTATATATAATATGATATATATATTTAGTATTATGAGGCATTAAATGTGATTTAGTTTGATTATTTGTCAATCTACAATATATATATAACAATAATTTACGAAATATAATCACGACACACAAATGTGTGTCATCTTTTTTAATGGCATGTGCTTGAATGACACGCAATGTAAGTCATACATGCATGTCATAAATTTATGACACACAAATGTGTATCATCTTAATTTATGACGGGGGCTTCAATGACGCTAAATGAACGTCATAAATGTGCGTCATAAATGTGTGTAAAAAATGCACGTCATAAATTTATGACGCATAGATGCGTGCCATCTTAAATTCATGTCGGTGGCTTCAACGACAGGCAAATGTGTGTCATATGCACGCATAGATGACGCGCAATGTGCGTCATTAAAGGGGTTTTTTCTACTAGTGATGGAATCTTCAATTGGCATGCCCCAAACTGTTCTATAGAATTCAACATGTTAAACATCACAGGTTTGAGCTCAAAATAGGCTGTTTAAATTTCAGATGCCACAATATCAGGATTCAAATCATCCAGCATAGGATTCAAATGATCACGAATAGCATAAGGTCTATTATCAAGCCTAGCATTATGGAATGCCTCGACATTCTGATTACCTTCTTCTTGACCAATGTCCTGGTTCCTAATTTGATACAAATTTTCTCAAACACATTGAGCACATCTCATTTTCCTAAAAAGTCTCTCAATCTCAGGTTCAATTGGTTCTAATGGCTTGTAAGAATGTCTTCTAGGCATACACCAAGTAAGCCTGAAAAATAAGAAAGTAAAATAGAAACTAAAATATAAAAAATAGCAAAATAAAATACTATTACATAACTAATTAACTTCTAGTCTCCAATCCCCGGTAACGGCGCCAAAAGAAAAGTATAGAAATGATATATACACTAATGATGCTTCGACAATGAAAATGTGAGAGTGAATGGAATGATGGTGATGGAATGTGATTGAATGAATAATGTCATGTCAAAAGAAAAGTTTATAATGATTAAAATGTCGAGAAAAAGTAAAATGGTAAAAATAGGAAATAAATGAATAACTTGACAATCCTCACACGGGAAACTACTTTAGAAATAAATAGTGATGAGACACTTAAGGAGCTGAAAACTTATCTCTCTAGCCGATTTAGTCTTTTAATGTTTTACTTGTTTGATAGAGTTTGTTAAAAGTGTTCTCATTATCTCTAGTCATAAGAACATAACAAAATAGAATGCCATTGTATCTTCTCTCAGTCTCAACTATGGCAGCTTACACTATTGATAACGCACTACTCCGTTTAGTCGTTGAAATCCTAGCTTAGTCACTCTCAAGTACTAAGGGATTAGGCTATAGTGATTAATTATATCCCATTGTTTATGCTAATCCTTCTTAAGTTTCTCTCGAAAACTTAAGAATTAGTGACTAGATTTCTCTCGAACATCTAGTCTACATCTAAGAAATGGACACTCTCATGCCTCCTACAATCTTAGAAGATGGAGAATTCAAAACAAAACAAATAAAAACAAAAGATAAACATTCATTAACAATTAAAATAAAGTTTGAAACATCCATCAAATAAAACCTACGAAATATAGCTTGGTTCATGGTAGGGTTTGAACAAACTATAGAGAATACTCAATCGTTCATTCGACCTTACAACCCAAAAAAGATTTCAAGCTTTAGCAATGGATAAAAGGTTGGAGAAGAAGACACAAGGTTTACATGGATGATGCTTCCTCAAACAACCATGTATAGTTATAGATCGAGCTCCTCTCGGATGCTTATGTCACTTCTTTGAGCTTCACTAATGGAGGAACACCAATAAAAACGGAGAAAAGAATAACGGTGGAGAGAATGGAGAATGTGATGATTTTCAAGCTTATGTAACCATCTCTTTCTCTCTATTGTGTAAAAAATATCTAAGGATATTCTTGGAATTTTGCACTCAAAATACCCATCATACCCCCAAATCATTTCTTGTGCATGAAACTTATCTCTATATGTGGTAGTAGACCCCATCAGACGATTACAGGTAGCAAACACGTGCCTTGATAACTGCCTTCTTGTGAAAATATCTTTTTGTCAATTTATGCGCCAGAAATGCAAAGGTATTGCAGTATGCTTCAGTAACATGTGATGCCACAGTATTCTTCTCAGCTCACCTTATTCTCCTTATTTTCTGCACATCACTAACCAACCACTCATTTCCCATCATATATCACGTTAACAAAGTAAAACAACACAACCACCACAAATCCAACTAAATGCAACTATATGCACCTAAAATGACCTATATGAACCCTTAGACAAACAATAACTTAAGTGGAAAAAGCCTTAAAACAGCCTTTTTACGAAGTTTAGTGCACTACTTGCGCACTTGGCGATACTATTAGCTTGGTTCTAAGTTTGTGGTTTTTACTGATAACGTTGCAAATAGTTATCTTCTCACCAAAAAAACTATAACCCCCTAGACCCAGCCTGGATGTTATGATCAAAGCTAGGCAATTACATATCGTATTAAAAAATTCTTTTCATATTTAAAACAACGTTAAATTTTCAATAGAATAATATAATATGAAATTGTACATAAGAAAGATTCATACGATAAACATATATATATATATATATATATCAGAAAACCATATAAAACATATACTGAACAAAATACCAGTAATAGAGATATATCAAGACAATAACAAAAACACGTGTCACCAAAGTATAACAAAAAGGCATATAGATATATACAGTGGTACAAAAATAAGAGTAATCGTTCCTCCTGATGTCAAGTCTTCTAGTATACAGTGGTTGATAGGTTTTTGAAGTATGCAACGTTGATTCCAGCATCCAAGGTATGTACAATCGAGGAGGTGACTCAACTTTTCCTCAAGGACGTGGTGAAGTATAGGGGAGTGCCCAAAACCATCATTAGTTATCGGGACACACAATTCAATAGGAGATTTTGAACTGAGTTATTCAAGTTGATGGGAACAAGATTGAAATTTTCCATACTTGTTAATCCACAAACCGATGGGCAAACTGAGTGAATGAATGCTCTATTGGATATCTATCTGAGGCACTATGTGAGTGCTCCATAGTGTGCATGGTCGAAGTTGTTGGATGTGGCCCAGTTTTCCTACAACTTGCAACGGAGCGAGGTAACAAACCAAAGTCCATTCCATATCATGATCGGGTAACAACTATCTACACCAGACATAATTGTTTGTTACAAAGTATACAGGGTCGAATCCATAAGCGTCCAGTTTTTCCAAGGAGTGGTAAGAGCATCACGACTTACCTCGAGCTTGTTTGCACAATTGGGGGAAGATGACTAAGAAGTGGGTTGATCAAAAGCGTATGGATGCGAACTTTGAAAGTAATGATCTAGTCCTTACCAAATTAGTCAATGTTTTGCGTAACCCGTATGTGCACAAGGGGCTTGTGCGGAGATATAAGGGTCTGTTTCAAGTTGTGAAGCGGATAAGTACTATGGTCTACATATTGGAGTTGCCTCCGACCATCCGAGCTCATCCAGTGCAATTTAGTCTACTCATGCCATACCATCATAATGAGGAGGATCCAGATTGAGGCAAGTCACATCGAGCACCAGTAGGAGTGAAGGTTCCTATGACAAAGAAGTTAAAGACATCTAGGCAGAAAGAGTTATTCGGTGACCAGGACACCGCCCAAGGCATGAGTACTTTGTTTTGTGAAAGGGACATCCTGAGAGTGAAGGAAGTTGGGAGCATGCTGAGGAACATTGACAATTCAAATCCATGATAAACCAATACCATTCTAGACGAGTGACGAGGGTGTCACTGGAACCAGTGGGGGAGAATGTCAGGGACCGCGAGCCCATGACCGAGTTCACCAAACAA